GCGCAGATCATAATCCGAAGCGCAAAGAAGAAGTACCTCGAGCAGATCTGGGTTTGCTAAGTCGCTGAAAAGTCTTCCGTAGCAGCGTCCGGACGCAAATAAAAAGGGACAGGGAGCTAGCTGCCTTTCCGCGCACAAGCCGCCCCTTTTTATAACTCGCTTCTTACTCTTTTTTTTCTCCTCACACAGAGACGCTGTGTGTTTGACTTCTCAGAAGGGTTGTGTTTGCGTTGGGTTTCCACGGAGGACCAAGAGTGGCTGTGACAGAGGAGAACGCTTTGCTTCCAAAATCGAAATCCTTTCAAGAAAATTATATTTAAGATATAAGTGGCCTCTCCGCTTCCAGAACCTGCTCCTCCTATTCCTTACCTCAGCGAGGCACCCAGAGCACCTAACAACAACTACTCCTGCCCCTTTTTCCGCACTGCACGAGGTGGCAGCCCATTGTGTGGACCCCCAGCCTATTTTTTTTTAAGGGAGACTATTACAGAGTCCCACTGCCTTGGGCAATCGCAGTGCCGCCAGCTGCACCCATGTCTCTGGATCTGGCTGCCAGCTGGGGCATTATATTTCCTAGATACCTTGGGGGAGAAGTATGGAGAAAAAAAAAAAGAATATTAGGACGATTTGTATAAATCCGCTGGCGGCGCAACGCATAATTTTCACAAGCGGCGTCCTTTCCTAAAATGGAAAAGGGAGGCGGGGGGGGCTGGAAGGTACGAATCGCACACCCTTCCATTGTTTGCTTACGCACTACCCCCTCTTCTCACACACACAACACCGCTTTGTCAGTCTGTTCCCAGGCAGGCAAGCCGGGAGCTACTCCTTATGCAAACTCCCTCGTATTAAACGAGCCGAGAGGACCCCACCCAATTTGACAACAAAGCAGAAAAGGGGGGGAGGAACCACGGCGAAGGACGACTGACGTTCACGGATCTTGCCCACTTGCCCTACCCCTCCTCAGAAGAATTCCCCCGTCTCAGTGCTAGAAAAAAAAACAAGAGAGATGGTCTCCTGGAACGTTCCCGCTCAAAATCTCGAGGGACAACAACTAGCAAAAAACATTGCCTCACATTCGCCTCCCAGTTAACCACCGAGCGACAAAAAAACAATATTCAGATCATCTTTAAAGTTACACTGAAAATATTAAAACTTTCTCGACGGGGGGGGGTTAGCGCCAGATTTTAAATAATATTACCCCCACCATCCTTTCATTCTGGGTTCATGAATCCAGAGTTTATACAAGCCAGCTTCAGTCGAACAAACCTATACAACACTTTTGTCTAGTCCACTTTCTCGGGGCTAGTTGACATAATCCCCATCTGAGAAATGTTGTAGGACAGCAAGCCTGTGAGGTATGTCAGCAGGCTTCAGCTGATACGAAGAGAGCAGTACAGTTTGGATTTCCATATGCTGGTTTGCTACTTTTTTCAAAAGTGGGGAAAGCTTTAAAAAGCATCAGTAGAAACAACAAAGCCTCCCAGCACCTGACAAATAACCATTTGGGGCATAAGGTGCTGTGCACTGGACTCCATTTCATTTGGGTCCAATATGTAGCCTGCATAATTAAATTGTAAACTGCCCAGAGAGCTTTAAGCACTGAGGCGATATATAAGCAGCACACTTTGTTCTCTCTCTCTCACTCTCTCTCTCTCTCTCTTTTTTTTTTTGCTTTGAATCTCCCCAGCAGAAGAAAAAACTTGATGAAAGTCAAGGTTAAAAAACAATGCAAAGAAAAAGAATATATCGACAATTCAATTACAGATTAAATGTACTGTATGTGACCGTTCAGAACCTAACAACTCATACCAGCTGTAAATGGTGATGACACAAACTTAGTATCATGTCAGCCAAGCAAATTACCACCTGTTTTCTAACCAGAAACCATTGTCTCTATTTGGACCTAAACAAATAGGAACAGACTTTATTCGGCTCAGTTCAGTGCTCTGAGAATACAATATACCTTTTTAATTCTTCTGTTGGAGAATGGCAACTTTCAGGTCAGCATATAAACACTCATGTGGTGTATTAATCTTGCCTGTTCTAATGTCAGGTTTGTGTTCATTTATATTATTTCCCCAAACAGATCAACCTTTTGGCTTGTGCAAAAAGCAAGAGGGCATTTCTAACAGATGGTGACATATATTATACCAGAAGATGAGCAGTTGAATAAGGCTTTAGTATTACAGCTGATACTTGATCTTGTGATAGTGTTACCAGGTAGATACAGGAATAGAATTTGCATCTGAACTGGGGGTGGGGGGCAGTCCTTGTGCATTTTTTTATGGGCACTGTTGCTGAGGCATAGCTGTTTTAAGTCATCAGAAAGAATATCAGCATTTAGAAACATGCAGGAAAACATTTCCATTTCCTTGGACATTCTTATGCTAATCGGAAAGTTGATATTCTCCAGGAGAAGACTTTCAGACAGAAACTCCAGGTTGTGATAAGTCATTAGAACTAGAGATGGGCATGAACCTTAGTGCGTATGAACCAGCATGAACTCCGAACCAAGGTTCGTTCCCATCTCTAATTAGAACTAATAACACAATTTGATTCTATATGTTTGGGAATGAACATACACAATGGTTTTCTGCCCTACTAAAAGCAGTTATTGTGAGCTAACTCTAAATCCAACATTTTGTACCTGTCTGACAGAAAATATCCCAGTCCAGTCCATTTTAGTTCCCCAACAGTAAGTACTGCCGTATTTATATGTTGCATTCCTTGCTTCGTGATTTCCAATTTTCCTGGATTCCTACACCTCACATTCCGTTGTTTGCATTTTGCTGCATCAGACCTTCCTTTCCCTTCCGTGTATGTTAGCCACTATACATCCTTTCAGCTTTAATCCAGTTGAATCATTAGCAACAACATTATTCATACTTGTCCTTTTCCTTTCCCCAATAGCTGATTAACCTGGGAGTCTCATCTTCTAGCACAATCTCTTGTTGCATCTTGAACTGTCTCATCATAGTTTTTTCACGTTAGAAAAGTTCAGTAGTGGTTTGCCATTGCAACCTTATGCACATTACTAACAAAAGTCAGAATGAGTGTCAACACCGTTGTCTCCTCTGACAATGTCACCTCCAACTACTGCTAGTACCCAGTAGCTACCACCTCAATCACCTTTGGAACTATCCATTCTCTTCTGCTGATTCAGCATTACTCTTGAAGAGGGTGGATGCATTTTAGTCTCGGGTCTTAGCTGTGACCATTCCTCTTTGGTTGACCCTGCTAGGAGTCCAGGCTCATAATGTACGCTTAGGGTGCTAAATTAAATGTTCATATTGTATAGTACAGGGTGGTGAGAAAATAATAGTCTCCCGAAAGCTACTTTGTTTCCTACCATCACCACCAACAACTGGAGTAGGTGTGTAAAATAGCTGAATTAGGGAATTGTGTGTGTTGAGGCCAGTTATCAGATCAGCATAATCCCAACCTCACGCTCTCCAAACTTCTATGTTATGTGCTTTTAAGTCACATCTGAGTTACAGCAACCATAACAGGCTTTCCAAAGTTTGTGGGAATGGTTTCACTGGTACTGCAGCCTTGTTGAGTTTACATGATTAAGTGGTTATTTGAACCTCTTTCTCCTGAGTCTTTGTTTTCCACTATAGTCATCTTGCAGTGAATAATAGAAAGTATTTGGTTAAATAGACTTAGAGGGAACCAGGTTGGGGAAAGCTGGCTTAGATCAAGAATCTACATTCAGCAGTGTAACTAAGCTCACCATCCTTTCGCCCAAAAATCATTTATATATTCCCTCCAATGTTTCTTTATTTTACGGATGGAGTAGCACCTTTTGCAAATCATCAGTAGACTACAGCAGATGCTAATCTACTTTCTCGGTTTCCTTGGTAGAGCCTGCTGAATTTACTGTACATTAGTTAAAGGAAATTTCACCTCTTGCTGGAATTTCTAATCTGGCTCAAATCTGCCTATAGCACAAATGAATTAAATCTCTAGTTCTACAAAACAGATTAAAGGAAGTCAGATTTTCCTTTCCACTCACTGCCTGATAATCAATTTGAAACTCTTTCCTGAAAATCAGAAACTCCTCAGGCCAGGGGGAGAAAGATTAACTCAAACATCCTCCTTCACCCCTCCTCTTTCTCTCACAGCAGCATCAAAAGCCAATTTACCTCACACAGCACAGCTGCCACGCTCCTCAGATGTTCTTTCTCTCTTCAGACCACAGTTGACTATGAGACATATCTGTCCTTCATATAACTCACCTTACAATGACCCAGAGCCCCCAGTTCTCAATTTTTTGCAACCTCAGTCCTCCCTAGCATTTCTGCTTGCTATCTCCCTAATACCGGGGAGGGCAGGATTTATTTCTGAATTAATAGTCATATCTTTGTGCTGTCTGAAGTATATCAGCAAGGATTTCTGACACCTTAAATATGAACAATGGGAACAACAAGACAACTCCTGTGCAGAATGTGTGAATTGATTGTACATATTCAAAAACAAAATCATGGTCTCAAAATCATTTAGAGGAACAAGTTCTGACCACAGAAAACAGGACCCAGTTGCTGAAAACAAAATATATCTCAGTAGTCTACTGTAAAGTATATGCACCAAAGTTTAGAAAAGTTACTGCTTTGGCCTACAGGTTCCAGAATCCCTCAGTCATGCTGCCAAGAATATTCTGTAACTTAAATGACAGTAAAATAAGTTCTGCCAAGCTCTGCACACTCCTACTCTGGATGATCAGGAGCAAGGAAGTATTCTCCCTAATATCCTATTGCTCCTGATGCTACTACAGTGGCTAGGATCCAGAAACCAAATTGTAAATATCACAAACCACAACAGGAATAGAGAAAACATCCAAGTTCAAGTTTTATGTATT